GTTATATACCAAAAGGCCATTTCAGAGATACTGAGTTAGATAAAAATATATTACTAAAATTAATTTTACTTAGTCTTAATAATGGCTACTAGAAAATTTTTAATTACATATAGTTCACACTTATATTTATATTAGATGGCTGCTGTGCTAGACATATTTTAAGCTACTGTTAATCTTTCTTCTCCAGGATTCTTTTCTCCACTCTAGGAAGTATCATTTCTTTTAACTTTGTCTCCTAAATTACTTTTTCCATGATAAAGAGCTATTACTGTTTTTCTCTGAACTTCCAATGTGGTGGAGCTCTGAGTAGATATAATATATTTGGATCAAGCGTTTGCATAACACACGCTGGAGTTTGGATCCTACAGCTTCCCAAAGTCCCGTGTATTAGAGGTTTGGCCCAGGATGGCCTTACTGGGAGGCAGTGGAACCATTAGAAGGGGGGGAATAGTGGGAGGTCTTTAGATTACTGGAAACAAATCTCTAAGAGGGATTGTAAGACTCTGATCTGTCCCTCCCCTTGTCCACTCCCTTTTTCTTCAGAGACATCAAGCAAAAGTAGCTTTGCTCCATCTTATTCTATCTCTCCCTTGCCACAGGCTCAAAATCATATGAAAACCAAATGTGAACTCTGAGCTAAAATAAACTTTTCTCTTCATAAATTGATTATCTCAGGTAGTTGTTATAGTATCAGAAAGCTGATCAACACAACTCCTGCCCGGCATGGAGAGCTGTTAGGGGGAATGTTGAGAGAATTAGAAAACCTTGTAACTCCAAAATTCCTCCTTCATCTATCTTCCATTAGAGCATTTGATCTATTCTTTTGGGTTAAGGTATTAGCTCTCTAGAGTCTGTACACTATATTCTCAAGAGAGCTTAATGCCCTGACACTCATGCTGTGACAATGGGATACAATATAAGGAACTTCTTTGGGTGGATTTTTTTAATTGCTTGGACCAGGAAGTTGTTGGAGGTGATGAGAAGGCCACTTCACCAGGTGCTTTCACCCTGCACTACGAAGGGAACATCTTGGAATTTTGTTGTCTTTTAACCTCTCTATGGGCACTGACCTATGCTGCTCTTGACATCCACACCTCCGTGTGGCCAGTGCCTCCATGACTTCTTGGCACTTGGCATTTCTTCCCAGGGTGATCCTACAAAGAGCTGAACTTTGTTTCCAACATCCCTCCTTATACCGAGGACGTCTTCAAATGCTAGTGCTTTCTTGTGAGGAGCCAGTGTGCTCTATGAAACGCATATTCTAATCTTGGGGCCGCCTCAGGATCACTGGGCACTCTATTTGTTTCTCAATCCAGTGACCTCAGAAAAATGGCAAGCATCCAGGCAGTGATTCAGATGAAACCACTTAGTAGGGATGGACCCTTTGCAAAGCTGATGAGTCTGCCCTCCACCTCTTCATTCCCCTGTTGGTGGCCCTTTCCTGCCCCCTTACAGACCCAGCTCCATGGAGGTACCATTGGATCTTGAGCGTCCCTATGTTCACTTCACACTCTGCATCCCAATCTATTTTCCACTCTTACTGGAATCTGGCATCTCATCTGAAACCACTGCTACCACGTGGACCCCTGTGGCTCTGCATCACTCACCCTGGGAGTGAGTCACTCTCTGTTCGCTTGCATTTGCTATTGTCCCTGTTTACATCAATCAAAGTCATATTGCCCAACCGTAATGAATCGAAATCTGCAAGCCCAAGCCTCAGGGAGATAGAAGACTTGACAAGCCCAGTCTGGGTCTGAGAGTTAGTCACAGTGTCCCACCTCGACGCTATTTCACAGTACCTAGCAAGGATTCCTTTTTTACATCTATCACACTGAGCTAGGATTTGTATTACAAGCCTGTCTCCCCTTTGACTCCTCTCAAAAGAAAACAGGTTGTATTTATCTCATTATTTTTAAACTTAGCAGGGTGCTACTTATATATTAGGGACTCCATATATGTTTGGGGAATGAATGAAATATACTAGTCAGCTCCACTTGGCAAATGGAATGGAAAAAGATTCCTCTCAGACCAAGATCGGAAATCTAGCTGGTGAGCCCTTAGGTATATGCTTATGAGGAGCAGAAGTAAATTTCTTAAGCTGAGCCCCACAAGGAAGAATACAGGCAGCAAAGAGGGAGGCAACCCCATGCAGCAGCGTGGAGCACAGGCAGTGTAGAGTAAGAGGACCAAAGGGGCAGAACAGCCAGCCAGACACTCCCCCTCTGCACGGTGGACAGTGAGCTGGGGGGACCTGATGGGAGGCAGGCCTTGGCGAGGCTTGGGGGGAAGAGCACATAGTGCTCTGGGGTCAGAGGAAGAGCACTGGATACTCAGTGACACAGAGACGAGAGGTTGTAAGATGAACAATGGTGTGAAGACCCAGCCAGGCAGAAGCAGCCATAAAAGCAAAGCGCCTGCTGCCCATTGCTCTGCTTTCTCGCCCTGGGAGAGAGGACACAAGGCTTTCCACGTTGGCTGGGGCTCCTCTGCAGTGGCTAATCCATCCTCCCCACAGGGACCTCCCACCACCAGGGTTTCTCAGGGGTGGCCCTGGACACACATGACCGACACCATTTGTTGCACACGCAAGGTCCCTGGCCTGCCCAGGCCTGTGAGATCAACCCTCGGGAAGCCCAACCATTTGGCTTCAGTTGACACTCCTGTGAGCAGAGCAGGAATGCCACCTACAGCATTCTTGCTTTGGAAGCTTGGTCCCCAGGTGATTTTAATTCACAGCCACAGGACAATTTTAAACCTTTTTATTTCGAAATGGAGACTCTAATGTTGGATGGGTTTGGGTCTTTGCAGAGACCGCCTTAGAATCTTTTCTTCTTTGCTTTCCCCCTCCTCTACCAGGTAAGTGATGGAGAACTCTAGCAGCTCCCTCCCTGCATCCAGAGGCACCTGGGACAGTGTGGCACTGTGCAGGAACACCTGGGTTCTGTAATAGGAGCAGAACTGGAAATAAAAACGTAATCAGGTCCTGGATAAGGCAGGAAGCAGAGTCTTGGCCGGGAGCTAAAGCTGCACTGGAAAGTCACAGGCATTGCCAGGAGCAGGGCAGGTGTCTGGGCTGCCATCTTCAGACGGGGGCAAATCTAGCGCAGAGCTGAGTTGGGTGCGTGGACCTTTAAGAGTCCAGCTGCAAGCCCTAGAGCAGCTGCAATGGGGCACAGCAGGAGGGCCAAGTACGGGGAAGGCATGGACCCAGGGTTTAATGCCTGAGAAGAACTGATTTGTCAGGCCCAAATAGATTAGGATGAAAATGGCATCCTAAGAGTTGAGCAGAGCTCAAGCCGAGCAGCTGCGCATGACAGCACTGTGTGAGGGCTGTGACACCCCGCTCCATGACAGTGAGGAGGCCAAACATTTCTTCTACATAGTGCCTCTTTGTTTTGGGACTGATATAAAATGCATAATAAGTTAAGAGCATTACACAAAGTAATTTATATCTTCTCCCCTCTTTTTTTTTCTCTTACTTGCTATTCCCTGGTGCGGTGGGGGCAACACCTCTGGCACATATGTCACTGTGGCACACAGAGCTCTCTCTGTTGGCAGGCCAGCCGTGCTAACCCAGCAGCTGAGCATCAGATAACAGTTGTTTTTTCTAAACTAAAACCTCCGTACTCAGGTTTAATTGTAGTGTTGACACTGGGTGATAAATAAGTGGATTTGGGCTTGCAGTTTGGACACTCAGTCTCTAAAAGATTCGTCATCACTGCCCTGGTGCCTTACGTCCTCAAAGACTGACGGAATAGCTGGAATCAGAAATAGGGCTACACATTAACCAGGGCCTTTGAGATTTAATTGGATGACCCTTTCTTCAATCTGTTAACTTTGAGTCAATTTGCTGCAAATTTAAACTAGAAAGCCTGACTTTTTTTTTCTGTTAACTTGATTAGTTTGAGCTTAAGAAAAGCAAAAATGAAAAGCAGATAACAAGGTCATTATGCTTTTGCAAACTTCTTTGCAAAGAAGTTAATGCTTGGTCCATAGATAAAATCTTAGGGGAAATTTAGTTTGTAACATTAACCTGAAAGTTATTGGTGAGATCTGGGGCAATAAATCTGTTTCATAAAAGAGAGAAAAACAAACAAAACAGTGGCTTGGAATATGACTTGGCATAAGATGGTCAAGATACAAAACCATAAGAAACATCTACCTGGCCCTTCCCCTCCTGAGAGCAGAGCATTGCTTGCTGGGAGACCTAGGTGTCTCCCACCCTCTCCAGTGCTAGCCGTCTAGCTAATTCTGTAGAGACCAGTTATTTAAATGTCCTGCAAATGCCATGCTGGTAATGCTTGCATATAATCTCCAGGCCTCCCAAAGAGTTTCCAAAGCAGTGGTAGCCGTAGTACAAAACTGTGTAGCATGAAAAGCTTTTCAAACCTAAAAGCAGTCACCACTTGCTTTTATATAATCCCAGGCCTCATTTGGAGACCGTGCACATTTGCTGGCTACAGCAATGGTTCTACCAAGGTGGCAGCCAAAACTCAGACTGGCGTCCAAAGTGAGGACCAACTTAGAAAACTCATTCGGAAAAGGTCCCACTGTGTAGGGCTCTGGCTGTGAGGGTCTGTGGGGGCAGATGCCAACATTTAAAGAAGGCCCTGGGAGAGCTCTGGTAATGGACACTGCCCCGACAGCAGCAGGAACCTCTGGGGCTTGGGCTTCCCCAGCTCTAGCGACATCTCTAACTGTCAGGCAGCCCCAGGGCCCAGAAGACATGGGAAGGATCCTTTGCACCATCTTGGGACCAGCAATATTTCTACAAGTTCCTGCGGGTAGGACCAGCGCTTCTAAGTGGGTGGGCACTTAGATCATTAACTACAGTTTGATTAATACACTTGGGTAATCTGGAGGTGTGTTTTCACAGTGACTAAGAAGAAAACTAAGGCACACAGCCTTGCGTACCTGCTTCCAGAACTCTTATCACCTACTCTACTGCATTACTAAGCCTTTTCACTGCTAAGACAGAGTACCAAATACCCACAACTTACCGGAAAAGAGGTTTACTCTGGCTCATGTTCTGGAGTGTTCAGTCCATGGTGAGGCTGGCTCTGAGGCAGAGATAGCATGGAAGGGGCAGGGCAGGGCCAGGTGTCAGAGAGGTGCTTGGGGCAAGAATACAACCTTCCTGGTCACACCCCTGTGGCCAGCCTCCTCTGCCCAGGTCCCGCCTCTCAACAGCAGATTCAGCCATGAAATTATCACTAGATTGATCCACTGATCCATAGAGCACCCCCAAGTCCAGTTACCTTCCAAACATGAGGTTTTTGGGGGAGCATTTTAGACCTAAACCACAACACCTACCTACTGAAATATGGAAGTTACCCTGATACAGGATTTGTAGTCCTGGCACTACACATGGAGAACCCTAAGAGACAGCTCAGTGTCCTTAGAAAGAATTTGTTGGGGGAAGGGTGAGAATACACTGAGGATGGAAAGGAGGAACTCAGGGAGGTATCACAAGAAAGAGAAGGAAAGAAAGAGTAATTCCATGAGGGTTTTGGGAATCCCCTGTGAAAGTGATACAGCAACCAAGTTTAAAGAGGGTCCCACCTCTCCGTTATTTCCTGTGTTTTTTCCCACCCCTCACCCCCACATGTTCCAAAGCATCTTCCACAGATCAACACTGGTAAAGACATTAGACAGATCCCCATCAGAGAAGCACTTTAATTACAGGGAGGCTCAGAGCACGATGCAGCAGGTCCATTCCCCTCTAATCAAACCGTCTGAGTATAGAAAGCAAGAGAGAGACGCATCCTCTTGGGCTAAATTAGGCCCAGCAGTCACTGGGCCAGGACCATCAGGCCTCCTCCTGGGCGGACTTTCCTCTTCTTTTCTCGTCTGCTTGGGCATACCCCACAGTCAGCTGCCTCTTCCAATTTCCAATAGTAATGAAGAGCACTGCCAGGTTGCCCGGGCAGCTCCTGCTAGCCGTGCATTTTGGCCAGGTTACTTAATAGTCCTCAGCCACAAAATGAGGAGAACCAGGGCTGGGGATGTAGCTCAATGGTACAACATATGCTTAGCTTTTGCGTGGCCCTAGGTTCAACCCCCAACACCTAAAATCAATTAATTAAATTAAGTGGGGATAACAATCATGCTTATTCCATAACATGATTGTGAAAACTCACTGCTTGGACCACTGCCTGGCAGGTAACAGATACTTGGCAGCCAATTTTGATGATTTACTTTATCATTATAATTAAAGAACCATCCTGGTTGACTGGTTTGGAATTGAATATGTGCCCTAGCTTAAATATATACATACAGTAAGTACATTGCGTGCATGCAAACTTTAGATCCTAAGACAGAGTTTGGCAAGCTCTGTAAACAGCCAGATAGTAAATACTTTAGACTTTGCAGCTCATGTGATCTCTTTGCAGCTGCTCAACGCTGTGGCCATAAGCAAGACGTAAATAGTGAACATGACTATGCTCCAATAAAACTTTATTTAAAAAAAACCTGACAGGGGGCCTGGCCCTAGCTCAGGCCTTTAAGTGGCTGCTTCCACAAAGCTGTCAGCCTCAGGTTGCTGGAGTTCGAACCTCACACCTCTCCCG